CTATAAATAATAATTTTAAGTAAAAAAATTATTTTTATAACAAATATAAATTTAAGGACTAAAAGATAAAAAAAATATAATCAAAGGACTAACTGTTCCTTAACAGAATAAGAAGTTTTTCGTTATTTTTGACCAAATAGACGAAATTGAAATGAATCTGAAAGTTAATAGACCACTTAGAAATAAAACATAGTTTCTAGACTAAAATGAAATCAAGGTGATAGTTAATAGATTAAAAATTAAATTAAGCCATTTAAATTTTAGTTCGAAACATAATTTTTATTATAAAATATTATTTAATGTAATATAATAAATAAAATTAATATATTAAAATAAATAATATTAATTTTAAGTTAATTATATTTTATTATTTAATATAAATAATTATGAACTAAATATATATTATGATAGCAGACAAACATATTAAATAAATAAAAATATTTTTATAAATTTATTTTATTTACTAATTAATTAGTAATTTATTATAAGACTACAAAAAAAAAAAAAAAAGTTAGCACACTTTTATTTTTTTCAAGAAGAGTTTCTTAAATTTTTTTTTTAAATAAGGAACTTATTTAATTTTATTCAGAAGTCCACGGAGGGGCGAGCGTCCCCCTTGCACCCCCTGGCTCTGTCCCTGTTGATGCAGATTAGATTGGTATGGTACTGAAGATTGAAATTCTCAATTAGATTAGTATGCTACTAGAGATTCAACTTCCTAGTTTTTGAATTTAGGAATTCTAATTACTTTTCCATGTTAATAATTAAATATTGATTCTACAATTTTAAAATTTAAATACATCCAAGTTAAATCCAATACACTTATGTGTTGATTTCTTAATGGACAGAATATGGCACAAATCATAAATTAGGGAAGCTTGGGGATGGCATCCGTCTTTGTAAGTTCCATCTTGCTTTACTCTTTCCCCAGATTATGTTAGTATTAGAAGCTAGAGGATGACAAATTGAACTCTTTGAGATAGAATTTATCAGGAAGGCAACTCTTTGAATTAGTCACCACAATAAACGTGTATTATGATAATTTGCAGGGGCAGAAATTGATCCTGACCTTCTATTGGCTGTTTTTCTTCCTCCTCTACTTTTCGAGAGTGCATTCTCGATGGAAGTTCACCAGATAAAGGTTTGCCTTAGCTACTGTGTCTCAAAGCTTTAAGGGGATCAAAATCTCACTTCAAAATACCAGTTTGAGTTCTTTAATTAGAATCTTCTTTCATGTATCCCTTATGGTGTCTGGTGTGCAATCAAGGAAACGCTTTATTTGCCCACGAGAGAATGCCAAATTTTCAAATTTTACACTTTCCTGTACCCTAGCTTTCTAAAAATACAGATCCCATGGAATTTACCATTCTAGTAGTTATTTACTCATTGTTTGAATCCCTGGGGCGTTTTTGTTCTTTGGGCCAATATAGGTCCTTTCTTTTTATTCCTCAAAGTTATAGAACCAAAGTTATTGCTTATTTTTCTTGTCCTCAATAGAGCAGAAGGATTTTCGGCTTTTTATTTTTTAAATCAGCAGGGTCATGCAGAAATTGAGTGAGTTTTTTAGTGAAGTGTAAAAATGTTCTGAGGTGTTGAATGGATCAGTTTGTCTTTTATGCTTGAACAGAGGTGTATGCCACAAATTCTTCTACTTGCCGGTCCAGGGGTTCTTATTTCAACTTTCTGTCTTGGATTAGCTTTGAAGGTATTTTGCTTCCACACTATCTATCTTCTATGCAATTGTCTTTCTTTTTCCATAGTTGCAGTTCTCTTATCTTGTTGCAGCTCACTTTTCCATATAACTGGAGTTGGAAATTATCGTTATTGCTTGGGGGACTTCTTAGTGTAGCTGAAACTGAACCTGTGGTTATGGCTGCCATGTTGAAAGAGCCTGGTGTAAGCAAAAAATTGCGCACTATAATTGAAGGAGAATCTTTGATGAATGATGGGTGTGTATTTATATTTTCATTGATCTGTTGATTTTACATTGTGATGAATATTCTGGAGATGTCTGGTGAGGTAGCATGCATCTTGCCTGTAAATTGATCTTCATTGAATGCACTTCGTCTATATGTTCAGGACTGCAATTGTGGTTTACCAGCTATTCTATAAAATGGTTCTTGGACAGAGCTTTACTTGGGCCACCGTTATTGAGTTTCTGGCAAAAGTCACGCTTGGAGCGTATGTATCAATCATTTTCCTCAGGCAAAATTTTGACATGTTTCTATCTGGTTTTAAGACCCTTTTCTTGGTACAGTGTAGGAATTGGCATTGCTTTTGGAATTTTTTCTCTTTGGTGGCACAAGTTTATTTTCAATGACACAGTGATTGAGATTGCATTGACACTTGCTGTGAGCTACATTGCTTATTTCACAGTATGTTCCTCTCCAAACTGATTGAAACTCCTTTTGAAGTTACTTCACTATGTCAAGGGACATAGTTACAGTATCATTTCAAGAAATGTCCATCAATGCTGCCTTTCGTAGAATTATGGGTTGACCCCTCAGGTTGGGTTTGGATGGAGGATTTTAAAGTGGGATTTCATAAGAAGAAAATGTGAAGGAAGGAATTTTATTATAGTTTAGTTAGAGAAAAATGAGGATTTAAAGAAGTTCAAAAAACCTCTTTCTAAGTAGTATTTTAAAATGGCAAGCTTTTTTTAATACAACCAAAACATTTTTGACATGAAACATGAAGGATCATTGAGAAAGGGAATGTGAAATTCCTTTTTTCATTGAAATCCCTCATTTAGAATTCTTCATCCAAACATAAGATTTTCTCAATTAAAGATTAAAATGGCAATAAAGGTATCATGAATCTCACTTTTTCAGGTTGTATGGCTAATTTAATAGTATAAAGTAACTTGCCCCTTTTTTTTTTCTCCTTTCCGTCTCTTTCCTCTGTCACTTACCCCACTGTCCAAACTAGAGCTTGTAGTTTATATATTTTAGTGTCTTACTTCGGATCCTGTGCTTTTACCTATATAAGAAGGCTGCATAAACTACATAAATAATGAAATTAGAAGTTCATAATAATATTATTGAAAACAAGTCTTAGATTCAAAAATGTTTCCTCTGGTTCATTTTTTACTATTCTGTGTTTTTTTCTTTGGCCAATTTTACCATACTATATTGAAAAGCCTTTTCCTTTTTATTTGTCAAACACTAAAATTTTTATAATTGAAGGACTACATCTAGGAAGATAATTTAGTATACATACTGGAACTATCTATTAAAAGCTACCATTTCTTGACAATCTGAATCTGTTTTCACCTTTTTTTATACATCATTGATGTTCTTTTTTTGATCATGAGCAAGTTGAAATTAAAAGTAACTTAAATTACCTTTTGCAAAATCATACCAACCATTTTTATGTTACAGGCTCAACTAGGTATTGACGTTTCTGGTGTTTTGGCAGTTGTGACTTTGGGAATGTAAGTTAACTAGGGTGTAAAGATTTCTTTGCTACCTTGCGAAAACATTTCTCATGATTAATGAGACTCTTACCTTGGACAGGTTTTATGCTGCATACGTAAAAACAGCATTTAAGGGTGGAAGTCAACAGAGCTTGCATCACTTCTGGTATGTGTCGTGCCTTTCTCATTTAGTGTTTTCTGTCTAACAAATAAATTAAATGGTTTTGATAACTGTGAAACATTCACCCTAAAAATGCAAGCGCACATTATCGTATCAAGTAATAAAGAGTGAGTAAAGTATCATTCTCACGAGGATTAATGATGAAAAATTCTACCGAGTACCTAAATCATGTTAGTGCTAATTTTATCTATCAAAAACCCTTGATGTAGAAACAAATTTCTTAAACTAAACTAAAGAAAATAACTGATTCTTAAAAATGATGGTTTAACCTTTATAAAAAATTCAGGGTTCTGTCTACTTACCTGCAGAATCCATTCGCATTCAATTCACCCAAATCCTGATCATTCTGCTCTCTTGAATCATGTCCAAGAATCCTTGAGTTTTTACTGATCCTCTTTCAAGTGACAGTAAATTATCTCAATCCACCGACTTATATATCTCTATATGCAGTGCAGTGAATTGAAACTAAAATTCAAGTGCAATGATTCTTCTCTCAAGAACACATCAATTCTAAGAGTATATTTCTATCTCCTCAAATTAATGGCATTCATTTGGTGGTCTCATTTAACTATTCCCTCTCAGTTCAAGTTAAACATCCATACATCTTGTTAATTGGCCAATTCAACAAGAAAACAATCTACAAATGAAATACTAATTCAAAATGAAGCAAAATAGATCAGGCTCTGATTTCTCATAATGAAAACTTCATGATTTGGATTTCAACATAACCCCAAGTACAAAATTACTTCATAATTAGAGATAGAAAACAAAAAATTGTACTGGAATTCATTAAAACTAAAACAGAAAAGTAGAACTTAGCACAGGTTTTCTATGGGTACAAGGAAAGAAATCACTAATCTGAATTTGGAAGAAGTCCGCCCATTGAATATTGCTTATGAGAAAGATCGAAAAAATGCAGATTTTTCCTCTCTCCTTGCTCTCTCCCTTGTCGACTGTTCTGCTCTCTTTTTAGCATCCAGAAGACAGTTTTCCTTTTACAGTTTCTTCCCCTTTTTGCTCCACTTCCTTCTTCCTATTTTCACGTTAAAACTGCCCACTAACTCCAAGACTGCCCTGCCATCTTTTAAGCCATGAAATTTGATGATGTGGCTCTTAATATTTGAAGTTGGTTTGGCTTGAAGCAAGCTCGAACCAGAATCTTCAATTATTCAAATTTCCAATTTTGTTACTAGAGCCTCCAACTTTTCAGAAATTGCTATTCTAGCCCTCACCTAAGAGAAAACAACCAAATTATGTAAAATCACAAAGAATCTCACATAACTAGTACAGTGATCTTAAATTTAAGGCTAGATTGACCTTTAAAACTACATAAAAATTAGTCCCATCAGTGTGCATAATGATTTCAATTCTTTGAACTCTAGAACTTGCTTGATTATCTCTTGAGGCGAAATCCTAGGCATTGCAGTTAACAGGTTTTAAAGGTGAAAGTGCCCCTGTAGCTTTGTGCTGCATCGACTCTTTCATAAAGAATCTAAAAAAGACTAAGACTATATTTTAGGAAAAGGTTACTAGACAAGACACACTAAAGACTTGAGTGCCTAAGGACATGGTTTCTTAAATTATGTATCATATAATTTTGAATGGAGCTTTTCCAGAAGTCATCTTAATTCTGTTACCGCTTTACCTTTGTCTTCAGGGAAATGGTTGCTTACATTGCAAATACATTAATTTTCATTTTAAGGTAATGGCTTAATTTAAGGCTTTTAGATCCTTCATACTGTTGATATACTTGAAAAGAAAAATAGCTTGGTCTCAATGAAATTTTTTATTCTGAATTGGTTTGTTGAATTCCTTCATGTTTTTATTCAGTAATTGCTGCTGGTATTGCCTTATCTTTACTTTTAGTTTCAGTTTTGCCCTGATTCTCACTCTGGATTGCAAATTGATGCAAGATCTTCATTCACAGAACCTAAAGCTCAATTTCAATATGAGTTTTGATCTGCAGTTCTAGTAGCTTTTAAGCTTAGGAAGGCTACATCAGGTTGAAGTAGGTGAAAATATGAGACTGGTGAATGATATTGGTAGTGGGATCTAGCATTACCACCTTGTAGAGTTATGTGATTACACTTACAGAGATGCATTATAAAATATGTGGGAATAATAGCTTTTTTTTTTGCTATTATGTGTTGACAACTGGGAGGTTTGGAAAACTTTGACATCAGGAAATAGAAATAATATGCAATTAATTTGGTCCAAGTAGACTTGAGAAGTAGGAATTTAGTTAGCTTTTGACTAGGATACAAACACCAAACACCTAATTACATTAGCAACATTTGATCGAGCCTTGGGTCAGCTATCTGAACCACTGATCATTGAAGTTTCGGATCAAATTGGAATGCATGTAATGTGTCTCCCCCTTGTAACAAAGAAAATTTTCTTAAATGGGCAGAAGGTTTTTTGCTACATGCTCACTTAATCTTAATATATTGCTGTCCACTATCTGACACGTGGACTCTCAAATCAACATTATTTTTTTTATGGAATTTCAAATTTTGCTGGAGAATCTTGTTGATGATTGGTTGAGAAAATTAATGGCTATGTTGCACTAGAACTCAGCAACAAATAAGTCTTTGGCAAGCTGAATGTTAAACTGGTTGAGAAAAGAGATTTTCTATGTAAACTAGGACTAGTGGATGGATACTCTTAAATCTAAGGTTTAAATTTCATTCTCTTTAACTTAGAGTTGATTTCTCATGGCATTGCTGATATTCCTTTATTTAAGATCAATCATAACAATAATGATCTTAGTAGCTGACAAGATTGTTTAAAAAACACTATTAAATTTATATGAAAGTGAAAGGGCAGGAATTCAATTGTCTTAGTGAATTTTGCTTATCATTTTTTTTTTCTCTTCCATATTGAATCTTATAGTTGCTAATTTTTTCTTCTTTTATTTTATTTTTTATTTTTATTGGTTTTTGTAGTGGTGTTATTATAGCTAAAGGTTTTCTTCTGGATGGCAAGACTTTTGTGAACCATGGTACTGCCTGCTTTTATTTTATTTATCTTTGATAGATAATGTTGACTTCCTGAGAAATTAGTTTAGTTTAGTTTGGTTAGCCAAGACATAGGATGACTTCACCCTCCTTCCCTGATGTAGTATATACATTTGAGAAAGCTATTTACAAGTTCTTTTGATGGGTTTAGGATTTATAAAATGAAGGATTTAGAATTTTTGTAGCAGAGGTGAATAAGAGTTTAAATTGTTCAGGGCTCAAACAATTTCTTGGGGGCAGAGGCAGTTTGACCTTTGGAAGCAGGAATATATGCTGCTGTGTGTCAATGTGTGAACAGGGGGAGAAGAAGAAAGAAGAATTTGGCCATTTAAGGAGATAAGATGAGAGTGAAGAAGAATGAATACAGAACAAAGGTTTAGTCTATGGGAATGCCAGGCATGGATAAACCAAATTCTCAAGATTGCATTAATCAAAAGCCTCTTCCATCATAAAGAGTACATATCTATTTATAGATACCTTGGACTATTCCTTAGGTTAGGCCACTAGAATCCAGACGTTAACTAATATTAAATAAAGAATGAAGTTCAGAATTGGTGATTGTACTTAGCCAAATAGATCTTAAAGAAAAAGAAAATAAAAAAAAATAAATTAATACATTAATTAATTAGAAATCAATATGATCCTTCATCTCATCTGAAAATATTATTCTCTCTCTAATCTAATGTATTTTTTATCTTTTTGTGATTAAATTTTTTTTTCTGTTATTCATTTAAATGTGAAAGAAGATTTTCTGTTAACATAAATAAAAAACACTTAGAAGTTCTTACCTGGATCACTTTTGGCATATGATGAATTCTAAAACCAAAATAGAATTATTAAGATTGGTGGGACCATGGGAGTGACCAACTTAAGGATTCTTTGTATCTCAGTCACAAAAATCTTAATCTAGGTATTCTTCCCCGGCAAAAAGGGCAAAAAAAAGCCCATGTACTTTTTGATTTGTGCAAAAAAGCCGTTGAACTTGTTGGGTTGTGGCATTTTAGCCCTTCCTAACGGTTTCTATTAGTTTTAACGGTTTTTAGCCCCTGAATTCAAGTGAATTTTCAGTTAATTTTCCATTAAAATTGACAGGAACTGTAGAAAAGAGGGCTGTACCTTAAAAGTGGGTTTTTTTTATCGGTTTTGAAAAGGACCTTTTTTCCCTTTTGCCTTTTTT